CCCTGGGGGTTTTTAAGAGGAGGTTGGATGACCACCTTACTGGGGTCATTTGACCCCAGTGCTCTTCCTGCTATGGCAGGAGGTTGGACTAGATGATCTGCTCAGGTCCCTTCCGACCCTAGAAACTATGAAACTATGAAAAATAGATCCAGCATGGATCCAGACTGCAAAACTGAGATCCAGATCTAAGTTTAAACCAGGGGTGCCAGCAGTCCCTTGATACAAGGAGGACAGTCTTCTAGTCAACAGGAAAATTATTGGTGAGTCCAGAGACGACTAAAGAGGCCAAGCCAAGGTCTACATATTTGACTGCAGACCTGGCAAACAGTTCCAGGATGTTCCCCAGCTCTCTAACCACTTTTGCTGCTCTCTGCCGGACTCTCTCTGTCACCCTAAGCAATCCTTCCTTGCTTAATTCTTCGACTGTCACGGCTACAGCATCACTTTAACACTACCTATCTTTAAATGAACCCATTTTTTAGGCCTAGTGAGCCTGCCTCATTGAAATGTAACAACCAGGGAGCTGATCGCTGATAAGTCCTTTTATCACTTTATACCGGAGATGCCTGGATTAGGGAATAGAAATGCTATTATGTACAAGAGAACAAACAGCCCATTTAAAATAGTTGTGCTGGCACCCAATTGCTGTGAAATGATACAGCTCCGCTTGGAAAGGAAGGAAAGGAACTAATAACGCTCTCATCTTCTGCTTTTGACTATGGTTGAAACCAAGAAGCCTTGGCCACCTTTGAAGACTTTTCATCAAAGGACTTACCCAACATTGCAGGAAATCCTGTGGCGGAAGAAGGAATTGTGTCCACATCTCGCCAATGCCAGCCTAATGTCTCTTGCCAGCTTACTGCCATGTGACTTCTACAGGAGGCCCTTGAGGAGCCAGCCACACCAACCCTCAAATAGCTGCAACCAAGAACAGCCATTATCATCAAAACACCTGTATGGATGTACTGCAGGATAGTGCATGCTGAGTATTGATGGAGGCAGTGAAGAAAGCAGAAGGATCCTGACCACAGCACAGTCCTCGTTCTCTAAATGGCAAGTGTTAAAACAGATGAAGAAAGAGAAAGAAAGAATTTGGCATCGGTTTCCAGTCAAGCCAGGTCCTTGATGCAAAACACTGATCTTTCAGATGGCTTATATCTTGGCAGCCTGAACGGGAGCCGACAATGTACCCTGTGTAGTTCATGCCAGCCAGAGCAGCTGAAAGGCCAGAAGTGCTTCAGTATGGCAGAGTCCTGCTGAAGCAATCTTTGATCTCGGGCAGCGCGGTGGGCAGACGGGAAACTGCTGAAACCTGCTCGCTTTGCCTTGACATCATCACTCATTTGAATGAATAGAAAATATTGTTCGCCTACCACCTCAATATTGTTCTTGAATATTGTTCAAGTGTGGGAAGAAGGGGTAGGGACAGGAGTTGGGGAAGTGCATTGCAAACCCGGCCTGGTGGAAGAATTCTTCTCAGGGTTGGGAGGATTTCTACACAGATTGCCTTGTGGCTTTTATTTATTTATTAGACCCTAAAGAGAGGGCAAAGAGGTAGCAATGGGCATGTAACAAGAGCCCCAAATTCCAGAAGCTAATGGAAGATTTCACTTCTCTTGCCAGCGCATAGCTTTGGGCCTGATTCTACTTGCTGCCAAAATAAACCTCATTTGTCTCAGTGAGAACCGGAGCTGGCCATCCTCTCTAGCTATCGTAGCGTTGCTTTTTCAGTAGAACACACCCACGCAATTCAGTATTGTTTCAACCAAAGTAGAGGCCTCCAACAGCCGTTCAGCCTGCTGTATGTTGTACCAGACTGGTAGTTATTAAAAGTAGGTGGATGAGCCAATTACACCAGGCAGGCACAAAAGAATGGGAGAATACAAGAGGCAATGACATTGTATGTTGTATGTGACTTCCCAAGGCCGCTCTGCATATCAGTGGCAGAGCAAGTAGTAGAACCCAGTTTTGCTGAGTCTCAGGCCTATGTCCTACACACACTGGTAGGCCCCTTTCCAATAGGTGCCATTTTGGTAGCACATTAGACACAGTAACCAATTAATGCTCCCAAGCCCCAGGCAGGTAAGTAGAGTTAATAATTTTTTATAGCTAGAAAATTGAGATACTAAAGTCTTCAGCCTATAGGGCACCAATAACTAGATTTACAAAAACTTTAGCACTTAAGTCCAGGCTTTAGAGCCTCAAGCCTTCCATGGAGCTACTGCCATACCTTGGAGGTGACCAAAGTCCATAGGCACCTTCATTTTCAGCAGGAAAGTTGCAGCAGTCTCCTGCTGGCTGGGTATGTCCAGAACCACCTAGGTCTCAGCAGACGTAACAAACTAGTATAAATAGAAAGGAAAAGTAAATAAGGAAGTCTCCCATTTGGCCTTTTTTGCTTTCTCAAGGATATTATGAATTTTAACTAATTAAGATTTCTCTGGTCCAAAAGAGATTTGGTTTAATTCAGTTCTGAAAGTCTCAGTCATACAAAGAAATTTAAATAAAACCAACCGTGGATCATTTATTAGAATATTAAGATTATGTTTACCATCCATCTATAAATAGTAGGTATAGGCCGGGGGAAACTTGGGACCTTCTACGTGACACATACTGGACTGTTTGCCTGAGGGACTTTTTGTGTCTGTCTGGTGTAATTGGCTCATCCACCTACTTTTAATAACTACCAATCTGGTACAACATACAGCAGGCTGAACGGCTGTTGGAGGCCTCTGCTTTGGTTGAAACAATACTGAATTGCTTGGAGACTGAGCCTGGCCAGCTTTGTTTCATCGCTGTCAAAACCTGTCCTGTAAGATTATACTAAGATGCTCAGCTCACACCTTGCCCTTTTGGTGTCCACCAACAAAGTGTCCTTCAAGGGTACCTACCAGATCATATCCTACACCAAATACAAATGGAGGAGAGAGCATCCCCCTCCCTTTTCACCCAATGGACCGGTCACCCAGGATGTGAGAGACCCAGGGATTGATTTCCTTCTGGCCTTAGAGGAATACACAAGTATAGTACATATTTGTTGGGAGAGGATAAGGAAGGCAAGAGTGGTGACCAGAGATGACCTGTGCAGGGTGTGGGGCCCAGGGCAAATCAGCCTGTGCGAGGCCCCACCCCCGGATGCAAGGAAGCCAGTGGTGGCTTCGGCAGCGAGGGGGCAGGGTGACGAGTGGCCAGATGTGAAGCTGGCAACAGTGACTATGCCACTCCACCTGGCTCTGTGGGGCCCCCCAAAGCATGGTGCCTGGGGTGGTCACCCTGCCCAGGGATGGCGCTGGTGGTAACCAAGATTAGGTTGGCAACCAAAACCATGGACAATAAGAAGGCCTTCTTTAGGAAGATAGGAAGCAGGAAGAAGACCAAGGGAAATGTGGGGTCCTTGCAGAATGGGACGGGACAGCTGATAACAGACAGTCAGAAGAAAGCTGAACTCTTTAATGAATACTTTGCGTTGGTGTTCCTGCATGCAAATGGTGGCTGCCTGCCTAGTCAGATACTGGATGGATGTGGGGGAGCGGGGGGTGATTGCCAACCAATGGTCAGTGTTGAATTGGTGAGGGAGCACTTAGAGAGGCTGAATGTCTTCAAATCAGCAGGACTGGATGGACTACACCCGAGAGTGCTGAGGGAATTGGCTGGAGTCACTGAAGGACCATTGGTGAAGATATCTGAAGACTCATGATGCTCAGGGGAGGTCTCAGAAGATTGAGAAAGGGCCAATGTGATGCTAATCTTTAAGAAGAGGAGGAGGAAGGATCTGGGAAACTATAGGCCAGTGAGTTTGACCTCGATACCAGATAAAATTTTGGAAAAAATTATCAACAAGTCCATTTGTGAAACTGGCAGAAGGCATGATGCTGAAGGATAGCCAACATGGTTTCACTGTGGGCAGGTTGCGTCTGACCAACCTCAATTCCTTCTATAATTAAGTTATGAACTGGGTAGATGTGGGAGACATGGTTGATGTCATATACTTGGATTTTAAAAAGACATTTGATATGGTTTCCCATGATGCTCTTATAAAAAGAACTGGGGGGTTGTGGGCTGGCAGAGTCCACAGTCAGGTGGGTTGGGAACTGGCTAAGGTCAAACCCAGAGAGTGCTAGTGGATGGGTCTGTATTGTCTTGGTAGGAGGTGGCCAGTGGTGCCCTCTCACCCCGTGCTGTTCAACATCTTTATCAATGATTTAGATGAAGATGTGGAAAGCATGCTGGCCAGCTTTGCAGACAATACTAAGTTATGGAAAAAAGTGGTCATAGTAGGAGATAGGATGCAGAACCAAGAAAACCTGGACAAGCAGAAAAGGTGGGCGGAGCAGAACCAGATGC